CAGAACGTTAAATCTGACCTCATTTAAAGCCGGTATGAAAGTCAGCGCTCCCATTGCCATTAAAACTTCAATGAATTTTTCTTTTTTCAAAATGTAACTGGAAAGATAATTCTCATTCATGCATGCATATTAATTAACTGATAATGAGATGATAAAGCATCTTTTCTCTGCAGGTGTACTAATCAATTGCAGTGAAATGGGGAAAAAATGAAGTTCTTTTATCATGAATCCGAAATTAAAAAGCGATTTACATTTTCCAACAAAGTGCTTTTCATTTATCTTCCCCTCAAAATGCATTATTTCATTTCACCATTTTAAAACACTTTCCATTCGTATAATGGTAATATTTTCATGTAATTTCCTGCAGCCTGTCTGATGAGTAATTGTGATATGGCTTTGTAGAATAATTCCTTCCAGCAAAATTCATTTTTCAGTAATAAACTTAAAACATATACTTCAGACAGAATGCTTTCTGTAAATGGAATGAGTTTTAATGAGCACCCCATGGCCCCTGTCAAATCAAAACCATGCTGTCATTCCAGTTGGATCCCATTCTTTCTGGGTGGTAATTGTTTTTTATTTTCATTGTACCTGGAAGGTTAACAGCACAAGTGTTCACAACCTGAACACATTGCTTTTTATTTATTCTCTACACCCTAATAGCTGTGCTAGATGGAATGATGATTAAGTGAGTATCTTGTCTCAGTATCAACATTGTTCCTGCTCCTGCTCCTGTTCCTGTTCCTGTTCCTGTTCTCGTTCTCGTTCTCGTTCTCGTTCCTGCTCCTGCTCCTGCTCCTGTTCCTGTTCCTGTTCCTGTTCCTATTCCTATTCCTATTCCTATTCCTGTTCCTGTTCCTGTTCCTGTTCTCGTTCTTGTTCCTGCTCCTGGCCCTGCTCCTGCTCCTGCTCCTGTTCTCGTTCTCGTTCTCGTTCTCGTTCTCGTTCTCGTTCTCGTTCTCGTTCTCGTTCTCGTTCTCGTTCTCGTTCCTGCTCCTGCTTCTGTTCCTGCTCCTGTTGCACATAAACCCTTTTTCTGGTCTTCCCCTAATGATTTCTTACAATGTCACCACAGGCAGGTAACTACTAAACAAATTGTGCAGAACATTGGTCTGCCACATGTCTGTCTCACAATGAATCAAAATTACATTGACAGATACATTAAGGGCAACCACAGCAAATAAGGCGCAGGATTACAATCCAATAAATTTGAGCAGCAGGTATGCAGTACAAGGACAAATTCTGCAAAAGATTCTTGTCATACAATCTTCTATAGGGAGCAGTGTAGGAGCTCAGTAGTGGTGATCACATATACAGTAGTAAGACAAGTAGCAAAGGTTGATTCTCCAGTAGTGCCTGCTGACAGAACCACAACAGGTCCACACCTAATTAGAACGTAAGACAGGTTCCAAAGTAGTGAAGGGCATTTAGTCCATGTAGCCTGTTTGGCAGTTAAAAGTGAATTGATTCTAGCATCTTCTCCAGCTGTTTATTGAAAGAAATCAGGGTATTGGCATCAGCAACATCGCTGGATAACATGTTCCACACTCACACAAAAGTTTTTTTAAAGAAGTGCCTCATGTTCTTGGCTTTAAATGTCCCTCAGTTTCAATTTTCAGTGCTCATTGTGAAGATAGTTGCTGGTTCGACTTGGTCAGGACCTTTGGGCATAGTAGTAGTCGTAGTCTTCCCTGTTCACAATGTTCAGTTTCTTCAGCCTGTAATTTGCATGTGTAGGTGCATTACACCATTGTAACATTACAAACTGTTTTGTTTACTGACACTTACTGCACCTTATAGGCTCAAAAACGTAACTGAATTTCACACTGCAGGAATTATATTTATTAGCATCTTGCTTGTGTTTAGGATTATAAATTGAATCCCTTATACAATCAAAGGGGTGTTGCTGACAAATAAACCACTGCAACTTCAGGACCTGTGTACACTCAGCCATTTACACTGTGTAGCACCTACATGTTGTTCATTTTTCTTTGCCTTATGCTTTTAGCCAAAGTGAATTACATTTATACTCATTTATAGATTTAGGCTCTTTGCAGTAGAAAACTGAATGAATCACCACATTCTCAAGGGAACAAGAACATTTCCCAAAGCAGGATTTGAGCCCACAATCTTCCAGGTACAGGCTCAGAGTCTTAATAGCAGCTCTGCTGCATATTCGTATTTGCACAAAAACAAACAGAGATCTTTATTTAACCCCAGAGAGATAAATGCAGTATTGATTCCAATGGGAACAGCACAGTTACACAAAACAAATGGAAATTTCCATTTTTATGGCCCTCCGGGCCAAAGAAGCCTGATAATGTAACGGAAATCTGCAACTGGCAGCCAACTGCTGATGTGAATAGGAGGGAGAAAAAAAAAAAGCATCTAACATTTTCAAGAAAAATGTCCATTTAAATCAAATGCAAACTGGAAAATCATCAATTCAGTGACCAGAAAGTGGAAAGACTTTCTGGCCCATAAAAAGTAGAGTATAGAAGGGGTGTGTATTTATCTGCCTACAAAAGAAATTGACATGAGTGTAGAGGTTAAAGAAATTAATACTCTAAAGCCTAGAGTTCCTGCAGGTGGAAATCGGAATGAATTATATGCAGTGACGCATCTACAACAGCTGTTATGTTGGAGCCTAGATGAACAGGGAGAGACTGTTCCCAGTTACAGTATTCAGTACTGCATGGTTACACTACAGCTCTAGAATGCTCCTGTTACCAAGACAACAAGCTGTATCATTTATCACTTCATCCCAGAACAATCTGCTGTGTTATTAATTCCAATATGAATTTCAGTCATTAAGAATCGCGCTGCTCCTGTGAGAGTGAGGCCAGGTTGTTACTCCCTTAGGAAGCTGATAATGTATTTTAATTACAGTTACCATAACCTCATTTCCTTTGTACATGCTGACAGAATCCCAACTGTAGAGCGCTTTTAGTTTGGAAAAGTGTGAATTCCGCAGTGCATTAAAGCAATATCATTTTGACAGTCCTCTAAGTGTGTGTTTATATTGAAGACCCACATTAAGTAAAGCTCAGTATAAACATTCAACGCAAGCTGGTAGGCTTTTCAATTTCCATTTAAAAATCGGTCGAATTGTACTCCAACATCATTGCCGCACTCTGCTTCAAACATGAAACACTGCCGCCCTCTGGTGGGACGAAAACGAAAATCGAGTTTTCCTGCTTCATGTTTTCCTGCTGCATAAATGAGGTGTGTGGTTCCCACTTGTTAGTTTTTTTTACTTGAAGACGTCCAGATTTCGAATTGGATATAGTGGTTAGAAAATGGATGGATGTCCAGGTTTTTCATTCCCTAAAGTGATTATGTGAGTGTTCAATTGATCGTTAAAAGCAACTGTCTTTTCATACAAATGCACCACACAAATACCATAATACAGCATGTAGCAAAATCTCACGCTGGTCTCAAACTAATTATTAGAATTAAGAAAAATGAAGATTTCAATGCTGTGGGTAATGGCCATCCCAACAGATTCAAACTCCAATCTGGGCATTCAAAATTAAACCAAACATCAGTTCTGCACTTATTTGTGGTGGTCTGTGGGACGCACCCATCTTTGACAAAAAATTTGACCCAAACTTTTTCACTCTGAGGGTTTGGTCAAGAATTCAGATTAAGAAACCTTTACTGCTATGACTGACTCAATTTAATGTTTTCAAAGCAATGACAATTAGCAACCAGTTGCTTCCCTGATACATTTCTGAACATTTCGATCAATGTTAGAATGATATTATCTGGGGAACTCACTCACTGTTCTTGGAGCCTGTGACAGGAGATCACATACTGGGCTGCAGCTCCGTTACTTTTCTCCACCCACCTCTCCCCCAGTAGGACTGATAGCATAGGTCTGTCTGTGGAGCAGCCCAGTTTCTCTGGCCTGGCTGAGCCAGTCCTCCCTGGACAGCCAGGCCTATCTGTGTCTCCGGTTTCCTGGTTGTGGTTGCTGAGCCAGTCCTCTCTGGACAGCCAGGCCTATCTGTGTCTCCGGTTTCCTGGCTGTGGTCACTGAGCCAGTCCTCTCTGGACAGCCAGTCTTATCTGTGTCTCCAGTTTCCTGGCTGTGGTCACTGAGCCAGTTCTCTGTGGATGGCCAGGTCTGTCTGTCTCCAGATTCTCTGGTCTGGTTGTGGTTACCGAGCCTATCCTGTCTGGACAGCCAGTCCTGTCCGTGTTGCCCAGTTTCTCTGGCCTGGCTGTGGTCACTGAATCAGGGTTTATTTCACTCTGTTGTTTCTCACCCTAGTCTGACACTACACCAGGGTCAGGTCTCTTGCCTGTGTGAGCTGATCTACAGGGAGATCACCACTGAACTGAACTGAACTGAACTGAACCCCCTAATCAACCCCTTTCTCAGCAGCTCTTCAGTTCTGTAGCACCCATTTACTTTCCAAAACCATGTTTATTACAACACGGACACAAACGTTTTTCTAAAAAAAGGCAAACGGTCAATTCTTTGTGTTAATTATTTCTTGTGCACTTGTCAGAGCCATGCTCTAGTTCTTGCTTAGCCTGTCTCATGGTGCCATCAGGATTGGGAGCGGGTGACAGCAGTGCAGACTCACAAATGCCTGGAAAGCTACAGTGCAACGCCACCCTGGTCCATAACCTGGATGCCATAGCCGAATCCCGAAGCCGAGTCACAGTCGGCCAATGGTGGAATGCCAGAAATTCACCACAGATGACTGGACTGAAGGGCTCTGCCTGCACTTTGAACAAACACTTTCAATCGCAGGTCCACAAGAGCTCATTTGACTTTCAGGGATGGTGTAGGCAAGTGTTTGTTATAACTATATGTTAAAATGTGATTTTGTCTACCAAACACACTAAAGTTGTAGTGCATTTACTGAGTCAAGCATTGCACAGGCAGAAATAATAGCATGGTGTATTTACAGTGGAGGACACACGCAGAAATGACACCCTCCCCCTCCCCTGGCTGTTCCAGGACTGCAAGAAAAACAATTCCTAATAAGAGCACACAGTTCAGACAGACTTTATTTTAAACAGGAGTGGACAAACAGGATACTGGCAGAGCCAAGACAACAACATGGCTAAGCTCCATCCAGTCACTCAGCTGAGGCACAGCCAATAGGAAGAGGTTTCTCATCAGAACAATAAGAGCTTTCATGAGCTGGAAATATTTAGTTCAGATAAACTTTAACTCAGGCTGTTTCCGAAAATATTCTTAAATATTCTAAAAAGAAAATAAAGGAGTCCATGTAAAGTGACATGTTTTATACTGTCTTTGCAACTACTGAAGCTGCATAGAGGACTGAGAGGCCCTGAACAGAACAGGGTGTTTTAAGTTTAAACACCATATTGCTGAGAATTTTGATTTGATCAAAATTTCCTGGATGTTTTTTTGCATCTCTTACATCTCTTTTTATGCTTTAAAAACATCAAATACAGGTATTACCTTGGCATTTTGGTATAAAAATAAGCATAAACATTCAATTCAACAACACAACACAAAACATTAACTTACAATTCATACACAAGGCACTGTACCCTTTTTTTCTGGGGGTGTGGTCCTTTTCCACAGTTTATTGACCCAACAAAAGAAAGCAGCTCTTTAGCCTACATACCTCCTAGTACAACTATACAGCTACACTGTGCTAGACTTTCACACGGTGGAGTCTTTGAAGAGAAGTATTGCCGATAAATCTCGGTAGTGGTAGTGATCATATTTACAGGTTGGTCATGAAGACACTAACTGAAGAAGAAACAGAGCCGAACTCCTATCTCTGGCATCTGAGGGCAGCCACTGGAGAAGTTTTCTTCTCCAAGGCCAGTGATATCCATTTTGCACAGGAGTTCATTTCTAAATTTAAAAAAAAAGAAGAGTTGATAAGCAGATAAATACATAACAAGTTCCTATGAAAGTTTTGTATTTGAAATTCTCACTGGCAGTAGTTTATAATCAGAAGTTGTGACAGAATTTGCAAGAACCCCCACTTGCAAACTGTTTCTCTAGTGTGTTTTCAGAAATACATTTTTCAGTTAAAATATTCGCAGTTACTGTTGTTATTAAATGCAGTCTTCATTCTAATAAACCAATGGCCGTCACAGGCAGTGGAGAGCGATCAGTGTGAGGAAGAGCAGTGGAAGCTGAGAATTACTTGAGGAGAGCTGATGGGAGGGCACAGTCTAGCGGGGGCTGATTTTCAGCTGCTCGTGTCTCCTTCTGCCCCATTCCCATTGCCCTCGGCCGCCGGTGCGCTATCTGCGTCAGGCTCTCCATCGGCGCCCTCGTCTTCTGCCTTTTCCCCAGGTTTTTTGGCAGGGTCGATGGCCTCTCCACTCTTACTGCTGTTGCAACCCATGGTGCTCCTCTGACCCTCTCGTGGCGAGCTGTGGACAGTCCAGGTCCTCTTCCTGCACCAGCGCCTTCAGTCCGTCGTGTCCCGAGAGCTCTGAGCTGCTCAGCTGACCCTCCTCCTAAATACCCCTGCCTCTGGACTGTTGTCAGAGGAGAGCCCTGGAGTTCCTATGGCAACGAGCTCGGTGCCCGACCATTCCTGTCTCAGCAAACACCTGCAACTTTTACAACAAAAAGTTTTAGGTTTCAGTTTGCATTAGCAACTTGGTCTATTGTGATTGCTTTTGCCAAGCAATAGGAAATGATTCGTGGTTTAGTTTTAACTTTTTAATACATCAGGGCATGGTTACTAGCAAACACAGCTTGTTCATTCGCAGTTAAGTGGCCATAGCAACTAACACTCACAACTATGGCCATGCTGTAGGGCACATTAGTCAGCATTTTTGTCCCAAAGGGATATTTTCTTTTTTAGGTTTTTGGAGACAGGTGTTGTCACCCTGCTAAATGTCCGTCAGTCAAACTGGAAATGACGATTCAGCTGCAAAAAGGTCGCTCTCAATTGATCGGTATGACTCCCTGTTGCTCTTAACATTTGCTGTTTCATGATGATAGTGTATTATCGCGTCTCCTAATAAAATAAACATTGGTGTTTGAATATGATAAGGCTTGTCAGACAGTGTGTGTCAGAATACCAGACAGAAACTAAGTCAAACGTACCTCAAAGACAAGGATTTGTGGAGGTCATGCATTCATACGCAAGACAAACAAAACCCGTAATAAATAATGAACAGACCTGAATGTTTCGGTGTCATAAAATTGTAATCTGTTCCTTGATAAAACTTATTTATTGATTTATTATTTGTCTTTTCTGTGCCGGGAAAAACTATGATATAGTTCACCATACACAGTCAGGTCACAGGGACCTACAGCAGCTGTTGTTTTTGTGCCGGTCTTCTGTTCTTCCACTGATGAGTGTGGATGGATGCTGGCAGCGCCAGATCATTTTAATCATATGACCTTTTCCGATGCGTCTTGCTCCTCAGAACGTAACGCCTAATGCTTCTGTAATTGGCACACTTTCAGAAAAATGCTGCCCAAATTCAAGATTTCAGTTTTTTTCTACTAGCCACATTTTCCTTCCGCAGTTTTGCGCTCAACGCTGAGAGAAAGGTTGATTTACTGTTCGTTTTCTCATTCCAACACCCTGGTCACGGGAGAGCTGCTGAATGGGCAGGAGGGATTCTCAGCTGTAGCAAGTGGGAAATGTTCACACTGATCTGCAAAGAAAGATTTAAACACAGACATCTGACCAATAGACTACATACCAGCTATTAAACTTCTTCTATCTGAATATCCACCACTTCACGGTCTATACACAGTTGCAGTTTAGGGTTAGGACTAAGGTTTAGGATCAAGTTAAGGGTTTGCAGTCAGGGTAAGGGTTAGGGGTTTGGTCTTGGGGTTGATGCAGGGGCTACATGTTAAGAGATAGGTTTAAGGTTTACAAACTTTATGGATACTCTAGGAGAAGCAGATACTGTTTGAACACTTTAATTTAGTTTTTAAATGGTGCATTAAGTAGTGCTCACAGCATTCACATGATCAAGGGGGGTCAGTTGCTTAGGAATGAAACAATGAGATTTACTACACGACCTGTTGACAAGGATTACAATGAAACGTTCTTACACAAGAAAGGTATTCGGTCATGGTGGCAGCGCCTGACCAGAAGTCCTAATTGCAGGTTAGTTAGCCAGCAGGGTCCTCAGCAGCTGCACTGCTGGCTGCTACCTGGCAACAGTAAAACAAAATCACTGGCTGAACAGTTCCCTGAGACAGGTCTAGAAGACAGTTTACCAATGTGTGCCCCCCAGTTCAAGATCTCCCCAGTAGGCTGGGTAATAACAGGAACTGTCTCATTGCACAATGTTCTGTACAGGAGAGGACTCGGGCCAGCCACCCCTTACCAAGGCTAAACTTAGGGGCAGAGCAGTGGCTCTGTAGTTAAGGATCTGGGCCTGTGGCTGGAAGGCTGCCAGTTCAAATCCCATGGCTGGCAGAGGCATCCTACTCTGTTGGGCCCCTGAGCAAGGCCCTTAACCCCAACTGCTCCAGGGGTGCTGTATAAATGGCTGACCCTGTGCTCTGACCCCAAGCTTCTCCCCCTGTCTTTGTGTCTCATGGAGAGCAAGCTGGGGTATGTGAAAAGACAAATCCCTAATACAAGAAATTGTATAGGGCTAATAAAGTGATCTTATCTTATAGCAGCCCCACAGTAGACAAGGATACTCTTAGGAACCGTGGAGTGTTTCCTGACCAAGTGGTCAAGATGCCATATCCAAGGGATGACACCTCCTACAGTGCTCAAATACTGGTTTATACACTCAGGTTCAAAGGGAAGTGCGCCACCTATTGGCCCAATGAACACTACTCAAAGGCTGGAGGTTACAGAAACTAAATATATTAACGGGTATACATTTCAGTGGCACAATGGAAAATTACTCAAAATTCTTATTTACAGTTACAATTCCATAAATATGCATGAACGAGGTCGAATATTTCTAAAATATTAAAATTATGTTCTGTAAATGTTTAAAAACAGAAAAAGGCAACGTTTTCTTTCATTCCTAGAGGTTCGCAATGCAACAGGATGGGAGTGAGGAAGATGAGCAGTATTTTCCTCACGCTCCGTGCCGGGGCGCAGGATGTTCTGCTCTGGGCAATGCGCTGTGTTCATCCGAGTCGCCCGTCATCCCCGGACACGCCACACGAGGGCCCTACAGCTCCATGAGCAGATAAAGTTTACTTTTAAAGTTGCTGATGAAGCCAAATAATTACAATCCCTTTAACATTAAATAAACAGGTCTTAGAATGGAAGGTCAGCTTTAAAAAAAAATCACCAACTATATTATAATAATAATAATAAAAATAATAATAATAATAATAACTTACTAAACTGCAAACGTATTTTACTTCACTATTGCATCTATACAAAGGAATCTCCAGTCCTAGTCTGGTAACACCTGAAAGCTATTTAGGAATCAAGCATGTAATGTTTCCATAAAGAGAACTCTGGTCCTTGTGGGCTGAACAAATCTTAGATTCCACTCCTAAATCATCTCTAAATTGTGTGGCATGGTGGCGCAGTGTTGAGTATTACTGCCTTCCAGTACTAGAGCCCTGGGTTCAAGTCTCATCCTGTGGAGCTTTCTGTGTGGACTCTGTATGTTCTTCCAGTGTTCTTGTGGGTTTCCTTGGAGTGATCCAGTTTCCTCCCGCAGTCCAAAGACATACTGGCAGGTTAATTGGCTTCTGGGAAAACTGGCCCTTGTGTGTCTGTGTCCCCTAGAATGGACATGTGTCTGGTCCAGGGTGTACTCTGCCTTCTACTCTTTGCTTGTTGGGATAGGCTGCAGCTCCCCTGTGACCCTAAATTAGATGACGTGGTTAGAAAATGGATAGGTGTTCTCTAAATTGCTCAATTGAACAAATGAGCTCTTGAATTGATCACCGTGGAATCAATCCATATCCTTAGAAACTGGTGATTTAATGGTGACTTCCAACCTCAAGATCAGGACTGGAGATCCCTACCATATCCAGAGATACAAACATATAATTATCTACAAATGAATAGACTTAAAAAACCTTGTTTATATACAAAATTATAAGTACCTGTTATTTTAAAAATAAGCTTATCAGCTGAATTACCTAAGTGAGAGATGTCCTGGTCCTGGAGGGACGGTGTGTCTGCAGGTCTCTTTGAAACAGCAGCAGTGGAAAGAGCCGGTAGAAGCTGTAAAATTGGTCTAATTAAACCTATTAACCGATGTTTTAGCTTGTTAAGATCTGATCTGGAATGGAAAGCTGTAGGCACACCAACTCTTCAGGGTCCAGGAGCAGGACTGGACAGCCCTGACCTACACAGAGCTGTTTGCTGTTTCACTGTTTCATTTAATTAAAATGTCAACTTCTGTGGAAGGTTTTAGAATGCAGAGGGAACCCAAAACCTGTAATACAACAGCAGACAGCAGGAGATCTGCATGCCTTAATTAAGGGCTAATACAGACAGGTGTGGAGGAGCAGAGGAGCAGGATGATGAAAGCATGATGTCATACACTTCAGACAGGAATGATATACCGGCACCAGGAGACATTCTCCCATTAGTGCGCCGCAGACCAATCCCACCATTTGCAGTCTTCTTCAAAGACCTCCAGCACTACCAGAAGCGGTAGACAACAGTAATGACACAGTGGAAAGGTACATATGCCAGCTTTCCATAGTGCCTTCTCTCTTCCCAGGCTCACTGCTGTTCTATTCACTCAGGGCCTTGTGGCTCATATCTCTGTTGTCTGCTGTCGGTTCTTCAGAGATAGAGACACAGGGAGACAGTTCTTTAAGGCTTCAGGTAATGATGCCAGTAATCAGAGATCAGACTATGAATCAGTGCCTTCTGAAAGACAAACAGACCTGTCTTATAGCTGTCTTTTGCCAGGCTTTTACATAATAGAGATAGAAAAATGAAAAAAAAAATATTGCAGACTTGGATTTTGGTTAAAAATAAAATTTAAATTAGATTTCAGATAAAGAGGTATTTGCAACCTAATGCGTCATGGTCTTCATTTGTGAAAGGAGATCGATGACATGCATTTTTAAACTTCAATTCCCCCGTCATAAAGTCAGCAGAAACACAACTGCTGTGTTTATGGGAGTGTCCTTGAGTTACAGCAGGAAGCAGGAGCTCTTGTCATCCCAGCCCCTATGCCAACCCCCTCTACCCACCTCTGCAGAGATTAACCCATTATTTTCCTCCTCTGCACTATCTCCTTTATCTACAGCCTTCTGCGTGCCACAGGCAGCATGCTGAGCTCTTAGAAATCACAGTGAATGAGGCTGGGAGCCCATGGTGTGCAGCTACCATCTGTGAGATTACTGCCGAAGGCCTCCGAGTTGGAGTCCCCCCCAAGCAAGTGTAAGTCTAACAACAATCTCAGGGAAAGGAACAACAGTAGAAGAGGCTGGTGTGCTCTTACACTGTGTGAGGTCGGTTCTTTCCTATCCGAAACAAGCCTCTTGTGACGTAAAGGGAAATTTGTTTTTGAGTGGTGTTGCTAAGTTACTGTATACAGAATGTTTACACGTGCAGAATTGCTGTACAGAAGCTTCGTTTGGTGGAACTGCTGGGAGTTCCTCCTGTACAGAACAGAACAGGTTTCCCTTGTGTACGTGCGAAAAGGTGTTTCCTTCAACACGCCTGTTCTGTGACATGCCTGCGTCAGAGAGCCGATTCCAGGCTTGAATTTGAAATGCTCTTCAGCAGATTTTGCTGACGGCACCTCTCATTTAAAAACGGGGTTTCCGAGCTCAGCTGCACTTGTGAGGTGACCTTTCATGGGGAATGACTCACCTGCGTGAAAAAAAATTGCGATTAGGACTTTTGCTTTTCAAATCAGTATCAATCTAAATATGTACTAAACACTTCCTTTGAAAGCTCCCATGGAAAACAAAATGACCAAAATCATCTTTCTGCATTTTTAAAGGCAAGAAAATGTATGTATTTGCATTAAAGCCTGTCATTGGGTCAGAACCGTGTGATTGATAGAAAAGAGAAAGCACAGTTAGTAAACTGCTCATGTCTGCAGGCCACAACATAGAAGCTTCACAAGAAATTCTAAAAAGGCTTTTTTCCAAATTCCAAACTGATCAAACACCTGGCAGACAACATCTGATGTAAATGAGTGCAGATTGCTCCATGCAGGTAGCAAACCAAATCAAACTCGAAATATTAGATGGGAAACGCCGAACACAAATGAGCGCATTCTGGAAAAGTCTTGGGCTATTGAACATCTTCTTGACAATGTGGAAAAGCAATAAAGATAGCAAATACAATGTAGGGTTACATGGTTAAAACATAGTAATGAGGGGTGTTATAACTGTGAAATGTACTGGTAAGATCGCATTTGGAGCATTTTGTTCCCCTCCTTACAAGAAAAGACACAGCTACATCTGAATCAGTCCAAAGAACAGTCCAGGGTTCAAAGTGATGTCCTATACTGACTTGCTAATAGAAATAGACCTCTTAAGTCTTGCACAGATAAGACTATGAAGCTTCTGATTCTAGTATTTTAAAATCCTCAAAAGCACTGACGAAGTCAGCCCATTCCACCCTTTTTCAGAAACAGTGAAACACGAACCAGGAGACTCAAGTGGAAACTACAGGGACGTGCATTTAAAACTGAGAACAGGAAACTCTATACACGAAGGATTCTATTAATTGGAAACAAGATGCTCAGCCATTCTGACCAGAGAAGAGAAATTCCTGTACTTGTATGTGTTCCCACTCAGACATTTCTACTCAGGAGTTGTACCGATATAAACTGCACAAGACAATTGCTTGGTTTGTTTATCGTCCTCCATTACGGCACACATGTGCACTGAAGCTATGTGTAACAAGAGCCTTGCACTGTCTAGCTGTTGCAAGGGCTGTGTAACTAACAGAGGCTGAGTTCAGTGAGGGCTTTGTGGCGTAATGAGTCAACTCAGTCTTTCCTGTCCTATTGGTTTCTCAAAAAACCTGTTGCAACTCAGCTACATGGGAAACAATTCAGTTTTTATACATTTGCAAATTGATTTCTATAAGTTGTGATCATTTTTGACACCACCACTGTTCAATTGGCCATGTTTTCATTGACCGCTGGCCAGAGAAAGGCCAGGGTCCAGGAAAGAAGAAAGCACTGTGCATCAGACAGCTGTTTACTGGCTTTGCATTGCTAGCATGCGTGTATCCACCACCGAAAGCGTGAGAGCCCTGAACCGGACGCGAGAGGCAGAGTTTGTGACTTGTGGCCTGTAATCCGCAGTTTTATCACCGACACCTGAGGCATGTCCGCTCAGGGCAGTGTGTATCCCCCTGCCTTGCTTGAGCACGACGACATGAGAGAGTGGAGGTGGGGGAGAGGCGGAGGCGGCGGCGGCTGAGCTCAGCTCCACTCCATGAACCGGCCGCCAAGGGGCGCCACACACCCACAGCCGCCTGCCATAGGTTTCGCTATCTCTTTCCCGACAGCTTCAGCTTTAGTATCCGGGAGACTACAGGTTCTGAGAAATCAAAGTAAAACCTCCGCCGATTGGCTTCAGCCTCTTCGCGGCCATCTTGCGTGCCCTAACATTGATGCCCCGGATCCCCTCGAACCCCTGCCCCAAATCTGCCCCCGGCAGGTGTTCACGGCAGACAGGTGAGCGGAGGACCCGACACCGGCGGAAGCACCCCCAATTTTCCGCCGCCGACGGCCCAAATTTGCCAAACCCCAAGCTGTCCAATCAGAAAGCAAATAACTGATATGCAAATGCTGTGTATCATCACGTTAGCGGCGGCGGAACCGCTGAGGTCGCCAGCAGCGCTGGAACTAAAACTTCGCAAATAATCATTCTTCCCAAATTACAGGCGCCCGAGGTCCCCCGCCCTCCTCGCCAGGGGAAGCTCGCTTCTCGCCGGTAAGTTGCGACGCCGTGCTGGGGTCGAGGGGGAGCCGTGAGCCCGCCGTGGCTGTGATTTGAGCAGCTGTGGGTCTGGCTGTCATTTGGGAAAGGTAGAGAGAGGGCGAGAGGGATCTGTGCGTGTGTCGCTCAGGCAAGGCGAGCAGGAAATCCCTCTGATAAACTGCGAAATGCCCGGCTTCGTCTGCTCTCTCTGAGCTTTATTTTTAAGAAATGCCTGTTGGTGGTGGTGGTGGTCGTGGTTGTGGGGGGGGGGCAGGATGGAAAGTGTCACCTGGGCGTCTTGTCGAGACGCTCCGGCGGCTCAAGGCGGGGAAGAAGCGCTGGTGATGGCAGAGCAGGAATTGAAGGTGGCGGAGAGGGGGGGGGGTCTTGGAGATTCCCCATATACGAAACACGGTGTTGCCCGAGACTGGGAAGCAAGCAAGGAAGAAGGAGGAGGAGGAGGGGGGTAGCCTTGAGTGCCGATCCCTCCCTCTCTCTCTCTCCCCCCCCGCCCTTCGCCAGCCAGCCTCAGCGTCACCCAGACGGGGGGGGGAGACGCACAGAGAGGTGAAAGCCGTGTGGAAAACACGTGTGCGCCTCGCTCGCAGCAACAAACCGGAGAGGAGCGGTGCAGCCCCCGCTGTCCTCAACTTACCCCCCCCCACATCACCACCACCACCACCACCACCCGGAGGGACGTTTTCATCCGTCCCCGTCAGCGTAGCGTGCTGCCCCCCCCCTTCCACCCCGCATCACTTTCTGAAAAAAAACAGGATTGATAAAACAACACAAAGAGTTGCTTCACTTGTTTTAAAGGGCTGCGGCTCAATTAGCAGACGGTTTGGTTTAAGGGACGGACTCCACATTTAGTCAAGGGGGGGTAGAGAGTGAGAGAGGAGGCCACTGAATGAGGAAGACATCGTTCAGCTCACACGCACACAGGATGCTAAGGTTAGTGGTTGTGTGTTTTTTTTTGGGGTTAAAAAAAAAAGGGCAGGCTGAATCTTAGACCGAGTTTGAGTCAGACAATAGAATAGGAAGTGAAGGCGCTACTACTTTTCTTCCTTGTGAACTAGTGAGGAGCTCCCCGGCCTAGCGAGCCCAGCGACACCCCGAGTGCGTCAGGCAGGTGTAGGGCGCCCGGCGCCCCGGCCGCGGCCGTCGGGGAGCCGCCGGCAGGCACCGCGGCGAGGGCCGGCGTTACTCAACACGGGGGACTGGGGAAGGGGGTGTTCGTGGTGGTGTGGATGTGTGTGTATGTGTGGTGGTGGTGGTGGGGTGTTATTGTTACATTTTAACTACTTGTTTGTGCGGCGGCGAGCTGTAGCGGAGCTAGCTGGCGTTTGTTTCCCCCGGCTGCTGAAATGTGCACGTCCGCACCTCTCCGTCCCCCGGCGTCTAGGAGGGCAAATGTTCCCCCGCGCCTTGTGTGCGTGTGTTGCGTGTGTGTCTATGTGTTTCTAGATCTATACTGTCGACGGTCTTTTGTTTCTGTGAAGAGTTTTCGAAGGTGCTCGGGAAACCAAAGTGCTTACGTAGATTATGTGGGACGAAGCGCACGACCGCCACGGGGCACCGAGAGCAGAAGTTTGTCCTCCGGTCCCTCAAAAAGTACTTGTTCTCCAGCTTTAGGGGCTACCCTGGGCTGTCTGTGATGTTTGCGTGCCAGCTGATGTTTCTGCTGACGAGTTTCTCCTGTCGGTGTCAACCCCCCCTCCGGCGTTCATTTTGTTGGCGCCTGACTTGGAAATGCACGCAAATTAAAAAAAAAAACAGGAGCTTTTTTTTTTTTTTTAAATGCGCAGTTAGAGATGGCCCTTCCTGGCAGGGGGGGAGCGTCAGAAGTTCAAGGCCCTGGCAGCTGTGCTCGCACTGGCGGCTAGGTGCTTTTCTTTTCATCTGCCTGTCGAGGGCTCGTTGGTGCTTCCCTTCGCGAGTGACTCCTGAACACCGTCTCATCTCTCCCCCAAAACCATTTTGTTTCTATAATCGGTGGGGGGAGAAAATATTATGCTTTTAACTTACAAGCCTGAAAAACTCCTGTGAGGTAGTACTTGCCCAAACAAGCCAATACTTGAAAATATACATTTTCATGGCCTCCTTGGCATAACAGTGTATACTAGTAATTGAAAAGCTGGAATATTTTACTTGTATACAAAAATGGCTTTAAGGTCCATACCGCAGTACTGAGTGCTGTGAGCTCAGCTCAGACGGTCTCTGCTTGTGGTGTAGGTGCAGCTGGAACTCACAAGGTGCAAAGTAGCCTCATGAGATTTTATTTTTTTTATCCTGTACAAAGTACAAATAAGGGCTGTCTGGCAGTCCCGAAGTGTCTGGCCTGGACTGTGTGCGTGCGAGTCCACGCGCCGTCTCTGTGACTCCTGCAGTTCACCGGCGCACTTCCTCTGACCCCAGCAGGTCTCTCTCGGTTGCCTCTTCTGTAACCGCGGTTGAGACGGGACAGCGTCCCAGCAGAGACCTGTGCTCTGCTGCATCCCGCCACTGCAGGAGACAGATCAGACCAGGACCGCTGCTGAAAAAGACTGTTGCATCCATAAAACCTTGCGTTTGAATCTGGGGAAACTTAAGGGTGTGGAAAATGGATTGAGCTGTTTCTGTTAATGTTTTATAGACGTGAAGTGGCATAAAGATAATCTTCCATCCTGGCGGAGAGTATGAGGAGAAGCGTGTTTTTTCTCAATTGGGCACATCTTACTGTAGAGCTGTCTAAGCCACAGAGTGCTGTGCCACGTCTCCCCGCTGAACATGCGCTGGTACAGACGTGAGGGGGATTGCATGCTGCTGTTGAGTAAGGCATTGTGTGTGCTGGCTGCTAACACAACAGAACTGCTAAGTCACTGCCGCTGAAATCCTCTTAGTACTGCTCCTTTCATGAGGAGCCCTGAGCAGGGAGGCTGCCGGAGAGCTAGGGACCTCTCCCCAGCACCCCAGCACAGACACCTGACACTCCCGATGTCGGAACGGGGACACCCTCTCTGTCTGAAACGGTGTGGCCGGGACGTTCCTGCCGATTTCCCTGTCCTGTTAAGATGTTATTTTTTGGTCAGTAGCTGCTTGACCGTGTTTAGTCATGCGTTCTGAAAGTGCACTGCACCGTTTGCACCTGTGTTGAGCGTGGCGGTGTGGCTCTGCACCGCCTGGCTGTGTGTGTGCTGGGGGGTCACGCCTGCTCTGCCTCCAGCTCTGGGTGAGGGGCGCTGCCCAGTGTGCCCTTAGAGCTCTCTCAGCATGGGCATCTGTGTACAGACTGGCTTATAATTTTGTTTAACGTGGGGGTGGGGGATTGCACATCACCCCTAGGCTGTGCTAATACTAGGATCTTATTCTTTAATGTGATGGCGGATGGTCAGGTCCTGACGTGGTTTCGGACGCTGGTCGGGAAGCGAATGGGCCGGCTGCTTGTTTTGTTAACCGGCCAGACCTGGGTGGTGGAGTCGGGGTCGGGAGGAGGCCGAGCAGGAGGCTGCGGAAGAGGCAGGGATCCAGGAGTGTCGAAACAGGGTTGGAGAGGGAGAGGGTGGAAGAAGAGGAGGAGGAGGGGTGCGAGTGTGCACCGGCCTCTGGCAGGCAGCCCCCCTTGGTCAGGCGGAAGACAGGAGTGCAGGAAGGAGCTGTGCTTCGTGGCTGGTCTGCTGGCAGTGACCTCAGTCTTCCATGGCTCTCCAGTGATGGGGCAATGGCTGCGGTCTAGACGCTGTGCGCTGAGAGGAAGTCGAGCGAACTCTCGCCAGCTGTCTCTGGCCGTTCCCCCACACAGCAGGTGCAGCCCTTGTGCCATGTGGTGTGGTAGACAGCTCCTTTTGTTTGACACGGTATTTTAATAACTTGTTTTGAGTCAATAAAAATATAGTCTGCTTCTGCTGCTGGCTTGATATTTGGGAACCCTTCAGCTGTGCACCTGAAAGATGCGACACTCCACCCTGCTCTTAATTAACTGGCTCGCCCAGAAAGCCCTGTCTCTGGGCACCGTGAGAGAAACCAGCACAGGGCATTTAAGTGCTTGTTACTAAATAGTGATGCTTCATTTTTCATTCCCCACTGACAAGTTCTCTTGTAGGTTTTGATCACGACACCTTAGGAAACTAGGCCCTGATGTGAACAGTAAACTCAAAACCAAACTGCAACTGTGCACATACATGTGCAGACTGGGCGACGTCATGTCACGGCTTTGGCACTCTATATTGATTCCACGTGCCACTAGGGGTGATCTTTTACGAGCACGTAGCACCTGGGAGTTAAACTGTTGGCTCTGACAGGCTATCCGATTTAAGGAATCGCCTGGAATTTGGGCAGGTGTGCAAATGCATTTCCTGTCCAAATGGCACGGACTCCTGCCTTCTGTGCGTTGTGCTAACTGACCGGACTGCTTAGTGTATTCAATAAGACATCCAACCAGGAAAGTAGGATAGGCAGGAAACACGGAAAAGGAGGCGTATGTCGCACGTGGGGCGCAGGCTTCCGAAATAATGGAGGTCTCCATACGGGGCCTCGCTAACTCCCCTTCCTCCTTTTTTTCTTCCCACATACAGGCTCGTTGGGTGACGTAGCATGGCCTGACGTCGCATGCCTGTCGGCCTGCTTAGATGGACGAGCTGAGGCACTGCAGCCGGTGAACCTTTCTGTCTGGAAGAGTGAGAAGCCAGCGGGGGTCGGCGCCGCGGAGCCCTGCGGCGAAGGCTCACCGTAAAACGACGCGTTTGCACCATGACGGATCCCATGATGGACTTCTTCGACGACCCCAGCCTGTTTGTGGGGGGCCTGGACGGGCTGTCCGACGAGGGGTTCGCGGGCTCGGGGCCAGTGTCCCTGGTGGACGAGCTGAACCTGGGCGCCGAGTTCGAGCCCCTGCAGGTCGAGCCCCTGGGGGGGGGGAAGCACCCGGGCATGGCCCCCCCGCCGGCCTCCGCTTCCTCGCAGGCGGGCCTGCCCTTCGAGCAGCAGCTGGGCCAGTTCGACGTCCTGAAGGGGCCCCTCCCCCTGGGGCAGCCCTTCTCCCTCGCCGAGGGCGGCGCGGCGGGCGGGGGGAGGAACGCGCTGCACCCCCAGTACCACAGCTCCCCGGTGCACCAGCCCCCCCAGCCTAACGGGTTGTTCCCCGACAGCAGCCCGATGTGGGGCAACCAGGAGCAGAGCGGGAATGTTTTCCACCAGCCGGCGCCGAGCCAGAGCTCGCAGCTGGGCCAGCAGCAGCATCAGCAGCACCACCACCACCACCACCACCACCACCACCACCTGCCGCAGCCCCAGTACATGAGCTCCCAGCCCGGCCAGCCGCCCAGCAAGGGCTTTGCAGAGCACCACGACTTCGCCTACTTCCCGAGCAACCCCCAGCCCCACGCGGCGCTGCACCGCCAGCAGGCGCCGCACGCCGCGCCCCATTCCCTGCAGCCCGCGCTGGACCGCAACGGCAGTCCCTACGGCCCGGTCCAGGACGCCCTGGGCCCGGCGAGGCCTTTCCCCGCCGGCAGGCGGTTGGGCCGCCAGTTCGCCGGCCCCCCGGAGGACCTGGC